GGATGTGGACATGAGAACCTTTGTGTTTTAGGACCTTAATAAAAAGGCAAGCTATTTGTTCTTTGAATGAGGGCTGAAGAATGGGGGAAAGTAGAGATTCTGCATTTCTAAGACATAAGTAAATACCTCATAAGAACCAGGAAAAGCCCAACCACCATCCCGGCAGAGCACCCTGAGCAGGCCATCAACTTCTGTTCAATCCTGTCTACTTCCCTGCCACCATCCTGGTCTCACACATCCAGGTCAGGATGTGGGATTCCCCTCTATATGCTGTGAATATCATTGGTTAATAAAGAAACTGTGTTGGGCCTGCACAGGGAATAGAGGTAGGCAGGGGAAACTAAACTGAATGCTGGGAGAAAGAAGGAGGAGTTAGAGAGAAGCCATGTAGCCCTGCCAGAGACAGATGTCAGAACTTTAGATGGTAAGCCACTGCCACGTGGAGATACACAGATTAATGGAGATGGGTAAATTAATATATAAGAGTTAGCCAATAAGAAGCTAGAGCTAATGGGCCAAGCAGTGTTTTAAATAATATAGTTTCTGTGTGATTACTTTATGTCTGAACTTCCAGGAGGCTGGGAAACAAACAAGTAGACTTCTTACAACAAGGTCTCTTGGTCCTTCGGGGGTAGAAGGCATTGGGCATAGGTGGCATCATGTAGTACTAGAGGCAAAACATCCTTGTCCTACATTACTTGTTCTACAGGCCTTCAACTAAGCATGTGAACTTCCATAAGTTCCATAGATCCAAAGCTAACTTACTGCTTATAACATATCATGTTCTATAGCGATACGGGTTTAAAGGTACTGAAATAATTTTTCCTTGTTTGTAAACACTCTTTGTCTCAACCTCCCCCAGGAAAGTTATCTCAAGCCTTTCTCTGGCTCCCTCTGACCTCCTTATTTGGTATCTGGAGGGTTAATACAGGGCTAAGAAGGGAATTTGGAATGCAGTTCCAGGAGGCAGGACCACTCTGGTTGATCTCATCTTCTACTTGAGTGTAAGTTAGAATTATGACTTCCTTATAGTCACCCCTTTGAGCAGAATAGTCTCAGAGGCTTCCAGACAAATCTATTTAACTACCTCACACTTCACAACTTCCTGTGGAGCCCTGTGTCCCAGCAAGGTAGGCTGTATGGGAGCCCCACTGGAGTAGGCCACTTCATCACTGTAACACCCGATTTCGGTGTTACACCCTCGGTACAGTTCACATGCAGCTGTACCGAATGCGAGTCCTGGCAAGGGCCTGGAGATTGAACACAAGACACAGAGACCAGGGTCATTCGATAGGAGATCAAGTGAATGCCGTTTATTCAGACTTGGGGAAGCCTTTTTCTACCTAACTGCAGCACAAAGATCTCTCCCCCCAGGGAGGTGGGAAATTACCATATTAACAATGGAGAAGATTGCCTGCAGCTAATCACCAGGTGGGGCAGGGATAGCACGGAAACACACAGGAAGCTTAGTTAACTGATAACAAACTGTCCCCGCCAATGCACCCCAGAAATAAGGGAGACCAGGGGCCCACACATCACCTTCCATCAACACATTTGGTCTTTTCTCATTCAGACAAAGGGCTGAAAACACCCAGGGTTGTTAGCAGTTTATACGGGCACTTCACCATCCAACCATTTGCGTGTCGGCTCAGTAGGTAGCTATGATGGTTCACCATCCAACCATTCGTGTGTCGGCTCAGCGGGTAGCTATGATGACATTGCTGCATTCTGCTGCCTCCATGAGATGGGTAAGGAAAAGGGAAAACAGCACTTTTCCCAAAGAAGTCCCTGAAGAGATGCTGGACTTGGTGAGGGACAATGTTGGACAGGCATTTACATCCTCTTTCTTGCAAACCAGTACTTGCCCTGTGCTGGGGGTTGAGCTGTGTCCCTCTTAAGGGTTGAGGCCAGGACTCTTACGATGGTATCAGAGCAGTGTGTGCTCTGAATATGTCACTTAGAGCTGAGGACTAAGAGTAGACATGGCTGCTGTTTGTCTCTGAGGCTGATGCTTGTATTCCTTCTCAGTTCTGAAGTTCTGGATGGAGAGCTCTCTCTGAGGTGATATATCCCAAAGCTACTCACTCACCTCAGTCTTAGGCTTGGTCCTCTGGAGGCTTCCTGGGACCTCTAATCTAGGCTCACTTCCCCACAGGTAGTTAGAGGGTCTGGTTCTATGTAAGGTCAGAGGGCAGGAACCTTAGAGGCGAGGCCAGGGGAGTTACAGTTTGTAATAACAAACTCACCTAGAACTTTCCAAAGATTGTTCAACCTTCATATCTCTGGCCTTTCAGTTCCATTGTGAGGGTGCCAACATCTCTCCTCCACAGATGTGATTTCCATTGTGAGGGTAGGGTACCAGCATCTCCCTTTTACAGAAGTGCCTTCCACTGTGAAGGTACCAGCATCTCTCTTTCACAGACGTGACTTCTGTTTTAAGGGTACCAGCATCTCCCTTTCACAGATGTGACTTCCATTGTGAGGGTACCAGCATCTTACTTTCACAGATGTGACTTCCATTGTGAGGGTACCAGCATCTTACTTTTACAGATGTGACTTCCATTGTGAGGGTACCAGAATCTTCTTTTCACAGATGTGACTTCCACTGTGAAGGTACCAGCATCTCCCTTTCACAGATGTGACTTCCATTGTGTGGGTACCAGCATCTTACTTTTACAGATGTGACTTCCATTGTGAGGGTGCCAGCATCTCCCTTTCACAGATGTGACTTCCATTGTGAGGGTGCCAGCATCTCCCTTTCACAGATATGACTTCCATTGTGAGGGTACCAGCATCTCTCTTTCACAGACATGACTTTGTTGTGTCAAATAAGATCATCTGACCCTATGTTAGTTAATTTTTGTCAATTTGGCACAAACTACAGTTACCCAGGAAGAGGCAATCTCGATCAAGGAAATGTCCCTTTCAGACTAGCCTATCGACATATCCTCAATTAAGGAAATGCCCTTATCAGGCTTTCCTATAAACACATCTGTTGAGCACTTTCTTGATTAATGGTTACAGTGGGACGGCCCAGTCCACCATGGGTGGTGCCATCCCCTGGACAGGTGTAATTGTATACATCCCGTTCCCTGGGTTGTGTAAGAAAGCGGCCTGAGAAAGCCACGGAGCAGCATTCCGCCATGTCTTCTGCTTCAGTCCCAGCCTCCGGGTTCCTGCCTCGACTTCCCTTCATGATGGACTGTAAGCTGTAAGAGGAACTAAACCCTTTCCTCTCTAAGCTGAAGTTGGTATCAGAGAATGGGCTGTTACAATAGCCCACCTGGCCCTGCTCATAAGGGGAGGATTCTGGAAGCATCTGTCAGTCTGGTCTGGAAACGCCATCAAGGGCTTGGAGCTTAACGAGCTGTTCTGTGGGAACATGGACGATAATGCCGGAGCAATGCAGATGGCTTGTGAAATTTCAGAAGGATGCAAAGCCTCTCGGGGCTGTCAATATTTTGAATTGGGAATCTGTGGGTCTTGGTTAGCTGTGGCTGTTGGCTAACAAGAGACCAGCACCTCTGAAGTGAAATCCTTGCTTTACTGGGGCAATCGATGCTGGTTACCTAGGGCTGAAGAATCATCTATGACTAAGAAGCGACCAGCACCCCTGCGGTGAGACTCTGGAAGTATTCCCGCAGGGTCAGGACCCCGAGACTGTGGTCCAGAGGGGCCAAGGCTGTGCGTCAAGGTAGCAAATGAACTTGGTGATGTGTAAACGCATCCCATACAGGACAGAATCATTGGCATAGAAGTTACAGGACTGAAGGAGTCAGGGGTGGGGGCTGAGGTATGGTACTGTGAGGTGCCAGGAAAGGTCACTGGTGAAGGGGCAGCCTCAGCTGCAGTGGAAACCCCAAGGTGCTAAGCACCATGTGGCAGGGATGGAGTCCCCGAAAGAAGCCATGAGAGGCCATTGGTGAAGATACAGCCTCAGTTGTCATGGAGAGCTTTATTTCTTTTCTTTCTTTTTTTTTTTTTTGATGGCTCAAGCCTTTAATCCCAACACTCAGTAGACAGAGGCAGGCGGATCTCTGTGAGTTTGAGGCCAGCCTGATCTACAAAGCAAGTTCCAAGACAGGCTTGGAAACTACAACAGAGAAACTCTGTCTGGAAAAAGAAAAAAAAAAGATAATCACTCCCTTCTAGGTTAATCATCACCTGTGCACAATGTTTGGTTTTGCCTGTTTTGAACTTTGGATAAATCAGTGGTTCCCAACCTGTGGGTCTTTACCTGTTGTAGGTCACATATCAGATATCATGAGTATCAGATATTTACATTACGATTCATAACAGTCCAAAATTATAGTTACGAAGTAGCACAAAAATAATTTTATGGTTGGGGTCACCACAACATGAGGAGCTGTATTAAAGAGTCACGGCATTAGGAAGGTTGAGAAGCACTGGATAAACAAACTCATAGCATACATTTTCTTCTGACTTGCGTTTTCCGGCACTGTTTCTGTCACAGATGTTAATGTTGGTCCATTCCTTTCATACCCTGTCCCTCTTAGGAAGATAACTTTTATAAAGTCTACTCTTGGCAGAGATTCGGATTCCCTTCAATTATCTTATTATTAGGGACAACAGTGCTGTGAAAATTAATGTGCATGTTTTCCTCTCCTCCTTCTCCTCTCTCTTCTTGTTTTTGTTGGTATTGGACATTTAACTCAAGACTTTGTGTAACCCAAGACTTTGTGCGTGTTAGGCGAGAGCTTTATTTCTTTCAAGGTGGTTTGGGTTGTATCACCTGGAGGTGAGAGAGAACTGGAGGGCTCTTCTTGTGGAGGACACCGTCCCTGGAAACCAAGCTATACTAATTCAAAGCAAACCGCTCTTGGGGAGAACCCAACTTCTCTGAAGTACTGCTTTGAAACATCTGGCCTGCAGATGTTTTAGAAGAGGCTAAGTTGTGGTTTCTTGATGTAAATGATTTTGGAAGAAGTGTTTCCCTGCCTTGTCTGACTCACTCTTCCCTTTCTGCCCGGCCCCTACAGGCATTTTACGTTCTGCAGCCAGTACAAGAAATTGCTTAGCCTCTGGGATGGAGTCCCCAAGACTATATATGGTCCTCACTGTCATCACTGAAGATGTAGTTTATGCTTTTCTGACTGGATTTTCTCTCCAGGAGTGGACTTCTACTTCCGGAGCAAATGAGTGTAAAGCTCTCACTTGCCCCCTCCTCCAACTGGCTCCTGAGAGCACAGCATGTAGTTCCCATTGTTTGACAGCCTTAGCCCAGCCCAGCTCTGCGGGGGGGGGGGCACATCCACAGCCTTAGCCCAGCCCAGCCGCTCTGCCCTGGGGGGGGGCACATCCACAGCCTTAACCCAGCCCAGCGGTTCTGCCCTGGGGGCGGGGGGCTGCATCTACAGCTTTAGCCCAGCCCCAGCCTCAGCCCAGCGGCTCTGCCCTGAGAGGGGGGCACATCCACAGCCTTAGCCCAGCCCAGCCGCTCTGCCCTGGGAGGGCCGCATCCAAGTGTCACACCTGATCGCTCTTATGCCTCCTCTTTCATTACTGCCACCCTGTCTCTCATCCTGGGCATAACCTGTGCGGTCTCTATCTGCTTTATAGCCAGTTCATCTCATTTGCCTCTGCCACCACCCGGTGAATCTCCCTAGCCCAGTGTTGGGTCAAATTACAACCCTATTCAGAAACCACAGGCTCTGTCACTCATCCGAAACCTACAGCCACCTTATCTGTGCCTATTCTTTCCCCTTACCCTCTCTCACCTTGGATGGCAAGTATCTTTCCACACATCTTAGCCAGAGGCCTTTCTGCGCAGTTCAAGTTTCTGCTAAGAATTGGAACTCCATGAAGACTTGAGTTGTTCCTGACAGCTTGGATAAATTCCCAATTGCAAGTTCCACCAGTGTCCCGTCTTTTCCAGATTGACTTGCTCCACGTTAAGGTGCTATACTGGATCTCCCTGAGACCTCGCTTTGTCCGAATGTCTCTAAATTTCTACATATCCATCCTTTCATCATCATCCTTTCCCCCCATTTGCATTTTATTGTCAACACCCAGACGTTTGAAGCCGCCCACATGTAAGATGGCAGACATGTGGGGCCATACGCTGTGACAGTCTACGATGAGCTTGGTAGGAACTGCGGGGCTAGATCCCTGCATGCATGTAGCTTTAGTGGCTTTGTGGCTGCCCAGTCCTCTGGCTTGTGATTTCCTGTTTACCAACCATGTCTCCCATCACACCAAGGGCTTGGGAGCCAGGACTGGCATGGCCTTATTCTCTCTGTTGGCAGTGCCTGCACAGTGCCTCACACCCTGCTCAGCCAAGATCTGCTAAAAGACAGAAGGGGGCGCCTCCTCTCACATAGTTAGTTATGAATCTCCCCACACACACCCGCAAAAGGACTTCCTAAATTGCTTCACCTACTTCCTGGGCCCTACATATTGCCCCATGCTTCAAGTCCTGGAAAGCCCCTTCTTCTTGTTGCTTGGAAACCCCTAAGTGTCTAGAGGCCTAAATCTGAAGCTGCTTCCCTTTGGACGGGGCAGTGAGACCACACCACACACATCTGACCTCAGGCATGCTTACAGACACAGCTGGAATGAAGGAAGGTTGCTCAGGGTCTGGACAAGTTTCTGGCTGACAGACTCCTGGCTTCTTCTTGGTTATAGGATTCCTCGCTTCTCTAGGGTGTACATGGCTTCATGTAAGCAAGAGCCTGAAGAAATGGAGACTTCCAAGCTCATGCTTCCTCCTAGGACCTTTCCCTCAGCCACAGATACAAAATCACCAGTCCTGAAATGTCCCATCCACAGTCTCATTAGGGGGTGTCTGGAATATGACAAACATTTTTTAAAAAAAATTAATGACTTACTTTGTGTGGAAGTGTTGTGTATTAGTGTGAACATGCCATGACACATGTTTGGAGGGCAGAGGACAACCTGTGGGAGTCTGGTCTCGCTTCATCATGTGAGTCTGAGGGATTGAACTTAGGTCATCAGGCTTGGTGGCAAGAGCACCTTTACCTACTGAGATATCTCGCTGGCCCTGGACACTTCCTTTCTCGACCTGCGTGGTAGGTAGTTTCCAAATATTTGCTTGGGAGTCAGGACTTCCAAGTTAGAATTCATTAAGCTGCACATTTTTATTCCGTGTACTTTGCTGAATATATGTTGTATTCAATTTAAGAAGGCAAGAAAGGAAGGGAGAGACAGAGAGACAGAGACGGAGACGGAGACAGAGAGAGGAAGGAAACAGCGCATTCTTTCCTGACTCCAAGCCCCTAGTCCAGCCAGTCGCATTGAACAAGCACCCGCCTGCAGCTGCCTCTGCTGAACTGTTGGGTGCCGGTGCCCCGGCCCCACCTCTGAATTGTCATTTTGATGCGGAGCCTGGAGGCCCAAGAAGGAGTGTGACTCAAACTAGGACTGAAAGTAAGGGTGGGGCTCAGTCGAGCTGGACGTTTTACTTAGGGAACCGTGTGAGCAAACATTGCTGAGTGGAACTGCGCTAGGTGCTTGGGTCTGAAGCAGCAAAAATGCCCTGCTATTGGATATGGGGAGACACTTGGAAGTATGTCTGGTTTAGAGGCCCTGATTTGCTGCCATAACCTCAAATATCATTAGGACAGATATTACTTTCAGGGAAGTAGAATACAGGACTCTGGGTTTTTGTGCAAAAGCTGACATGAGGTTTTCTCAGTTTGGTTTGTTGTTTTGCTTAAATCAGAAGCCCATATGAACTCACAATTCCTATCCAAGACAGGCAGGAAGTTACATCTGCCAGACACATGACATGGCACCCGAGTTCCTGCAGATGAACGGCAGGCCACCCGAGTTCCTGCAGACGCATGGCATGGCACCTGAATTCCTGCAGGTGCATGGAGTGGCACCCGAGTTCCTGCAGACGCATGGCAGGCCACCCGAGTTCCTGCAGATGCATGGCAGGGCACTCGAGTTCCTGCACACACATGGGGTGGCACCTGAATTCCTGCAGACACATTGGCTCTAGCCCTGAATTTCAGCTCAGCCCACTGTGCAGACACTTCCAAGGCCAGCATCAATGAACACAGTAGAAGCTGGTGCACACGGAGGGCCCCAAGAACCGTGAACTGCAGCAACGGCAGGGAGCTGTGATGAGCTACAAGGCGATCCACTCCCACCCCCAGCCTGGGACCTTGGAATTCAGAACTCTGCCCACCATCACCGAGCTGTGCCTGTGTCTGGACTACGAATGAGGGCGCTGTGAAATGTTCGAAGAGTCCCTGAACTGAAGCCACGGCTACAAAGTTTACAAATTGAGAGCCAAATCGGATCTAGCTCCTTTACACCCAAAGAGGAACTGTGATGAGGGGTGACACCCAAAACCAAGGAGAGGTCATAGCAGCAGTGTGCTGGTGACAGTCACCATCCAGGAAGATGGACTCTGCCCATCCCTGTGACCAGTCTTCTCTTCTTTCATTTAAGCAATGGCCCCCGGATGTGGATGCTGTTATAGTCCCATTATACCCACAATGAAACTGGGTGCAGGGGGACCTGAAGCGCTTTAGAAAATCGCATGCATGGTCAGTGCAAAGCTGGGCATTCAGGCAACCCTGCTGGGGAGCCTGCACAGTGGAAGTTGTATGGACACCGAGAGGGGCCTCCATCATGAAAGGGAACCCAGCAGCCCCACGATAGGAGTGACTGGCTTAAAGACCATCTGGTGGATTTTGATTGGACTGCGTTCTCCTTAAACAGCCTTCAAATTTGGCTCCACAGGCTTCAAGAAAAGAGGCCATGACCCGCCAGCATGGTGGCTGTAGTTTGCATTAGTAAATGAATAAACTAGCTGCTTGGGTCTATACACGGGTCTGTTAAGGGGAGCCCACTCCAGAATCAGGCCCACCCTGTACCAACTTAATTGAGATTCTGAGTGTTGCAAGTGCCGGCTCCAGCCCCGGTGCCAAGGAGCTCTCTCCTGGACTCCTCTCGGCAGAACTGGCCAGCCTTCCTAAGGGACGGCCTAGCTGTGAATTTGAGCTGCTTGGTCAGATGGCCAGGGTCATCTGGACAGAAGGCTATGACGGTGCCAGGTTCCAGTGTGTGTTCCAAGTTCCACATTCTGTAGCAGACTCCAGGCGCCAGACCAAAGGCGGCTCCTAGCAGGGAACCGGTAAGGGCTGGCCCCGTGTGTTTGTTCCTCCACACACATGCCAGGGTGCCCTACATCTCCAACTCCCTAGCCTTTCATCCACAGCGGCTCCGAATGCTGGTGATAGCAGAGCCACTTAGCGAGTCTGTTAAAACCGATTTCATCGACACGTCTCATGTAGGAGCAGGGAATGTTTCCTTCTATTGACAAAATAACTTAGTTTCCAAAAGTATACCTCAAAATAATACGAGATGAGTTCCGTATCATTCTTTTTGGATAAAAGCTATTTTAAATAGGAACTTACTATGTGGCTCTGGCTGGCCTGGAACTTACTATTAGACCAAGCTAGCCCCAGACTGACGAAGCTCTGCCTGCCTCTTGCTCCCAAGTGCTGGGATTGGAGGCGTGCGTCACCATGCCCAGCCTTTTTGGAAAAATTAAAATTACATGAATGCATATCAGGGCTCAAGTGCAGAGCTTAAAGAACTTACTAGAATCGTTTTTTTCCTTCTACCATGAGGGCCCTAGGGGTCAAACTCAGGTTTTCAGATTTGGTGGTAAGAACTTTACCCTCTGAGCCATCTCACCAGTCCTGATTATGCCTTTAATATCCTTTTAATTTAGTTATTCTTTAGCTCTAAAATGTATTTAGTTCTTTGTATATTCTCTATTACGAATATTCTCATTTTGTTCAGGCATTTTTCCTGAGTTTGATGAGATTTTTTGAGTTTTTAAAATTAATTTATTCTTAGACAATTTCATCTGTGCATACAATCCATTCTGACCCACGGATCCCTCCACTGTCCCTTAGTCTCCTCCCACACCCCCATCTTCCATGCTTCCTTTCCTCCCACCAAATCTTCACCATGCTTTGTGTTTTTGTTTTGTTTTTTTGCTTTGTGACCAGTGGGGTTTTATCAGGTCACTCATGAGGACACGGGCATTGAGCAGGGTAGCATTTGTCACTGACGGATAGCTTTGCTACTGAAGAAAATGACTTTCTGTCCTCCCGCAGCTCAAGACTGCCGTCAGCTTTCCTGGGTGGGGCGGGTACCCACCAACCCTCATCCATCTGGGGTTGAATGTTTATGGATTCAGCCTTTTGTAGGTCCTATGTAGGCAACCACAGCTGTTGGAAGCCCGTGAATGTCATGGGGACGCCATGCCCATAGGACAGTATTTTATGGCCCTAGTAGGAAGGTTTGTTTTTTGTTTTTGTTTGGTTTTGTTTTTTGCTTCCTGGTGTTTTTTGTTTCTTTGTTTGTCTGCGGCACTAGGATGAAACCCAGGGCCGTGTGCGTGTTAGGCAAATGCTCTACCATGGAATCACACCCCCAGCATGAGGATTTTTCTCCTCCTCCTCCTCTCCTCTTCTTCATCACAATTATTGCCAGAGGAGGATATGTATATGATGAGTGTTTGCTGTTAGAGAATATTATTTTAAGATGTGCTACATTTGTTTATGCTGTAGAACATTTGTCTAATGATGCAAAGATGTGTTGCATTCTTTTGTGATGCATTTGTTTAACTCTCTAAAGCTGTGTTATTTTGCCTGTCTAAAACACCTCAATGGTCTAATACAGAACTGAACAGCCAATAGTAAGGCAGGAGAAAGGATCGGTGGGACTGGCAGGCAGAGAGAATAAATAGGAGGTGAGACCTGGGAAAGATCGAGGGGTGAGAAAGAGGAGGAGCAAGAAAAGAAGGGGACAGACACACAGCCACACAGTCACACAGCCAGCACAGAATGAGAAGGAAAGGAAAGAAATACAGAAATAAAGGGAAAACCCCAGAGGCAAAAGGTAGATGGTATAATTTAAGAAAAGCAGGCTAGAAACATGCCTGGTTAAGGCCAGGCACTCATAAGAAATAATAAGCCTCCATGTGTTTATTTGGGAACCGGATGGTGAGCCACACGCATGCACACACACACACGCATACACACACACACATGCACACACACGCACACATGCACACACACGCACACACACACACACACACACCAGTTTGTGAGTATAAGGTCACACATACCATGGAGCATTCATGGAGGTCAGAGTAAAAGAGTTGGGTCTGTGTTCCTTCCTTTACAGGGGTCCTGTGGACCACACACAGGTTGTGGGGACTGTTCATTCATGTTCAGATCCCAGATCCCAGACAGTGCCGGCAGAGGTTTTGATGGCAGCTGGTGTAGGATGAGCAGCAGGATTTCTTTTTGTGTGTGTGTGTTTATTTTTTAAATTTATTTATTTATTTATTAAAGATTTCTGTCTCTTCCCCACCGCCGCCTCCCCTTTCCCTGCCCCTCCCCCAATCAAGTCCCCCTCCCTCGTCAGCCCAAAGAGCAATCAGGGTTCGCTGCCCTGTGGGAAGTCCAAGGACCACCCTCCTCCATCCAGGTCTAGTATGGCGAGCATCCACGAAACTGCCTAGGCTCCCACGAAACCAATAGGTACAGTAGGATCAAAAACCCGTTGCCATTGTTCTTGAGGTCTCAGTAGTCCTCCTTGTCTGCTATGTTCAGGGAGACCGGTTTTGACCCAGGCTTTTTCAGACCCAGGCCAGTTGGCCTTGGTGAGTTCCTGATAGAACATCCCCATTGTCTCAGTGTATGGGTGCACCCCTCGCGGTCCTGAGTTCCTTGCTTGTGCTCTCTCTAGCAGCAGGATTTCTTAAAGGTCCTTGATGCGATTCAAAGATCTACACAAGTTGGAAGCCTTCCCTGGTGAAAAGACTACCTCTGCAGGCCCGTGCCTGTCCCCAGGGTGCCTTTCTCCTCTGAGCCATCCTCTTAAGTCTTTGTAGTTTTTAGAGGCCTTGTGATGCCTTCTGCCTCTGAGCAGTCTTCCTAGATCAAATCCTGCCTTACCAGGTTCTCATGATTCTCCCCAGTCCTCCCCAGCCCATAATGTATCTATTTGGTTTTTTAACCTTTTTTTTTTTAATTGTGTGCATGAGTGGTTTGCTTGCATACATGTCTGAGTGACGTATATGTGTAGTGCCTGCAGAGGCCATAAGAAGGTATCAGATCCCCTAGGTCTAGAGTTCCAGGTAGTTGTGAGCTACCATATGAACACTAGAAATCGAACTCAGGTCTAATGGCTGAGCCATCTCTCTAGCCCCACATCGAGACATTCTTTATGTTTGTGTTTTGATTTGATAGTTCCACTCCGTTGACTTTCCATCACTGTGTAGAGAATTCTGGACTAGAATGGGCCCAACTTGTGGCTACTGGGTGACAATGAGTGAAAGAGGAATGGAACAGAGGTTGGAGCCTCTGTTACTAAGGAATGAACAGTTTCGTACAAATCTTCCATCCCTAGACTTCTGTTTACTTCTCTATACACTGAGGGCTGTAGATATGGTCTCCAGGATCTTTCCTTTCAACTCTGATTAGCCCTTTCCTCCTTTGTGGACTCCACAGGGATGACATGGAACATTAGGAGCACTCTGGAAACTGCTCTGAATCGAAGCCACCAAAGGGTCCACGAGCTCTCCCTCTCCCCGCGTCCTGAGAGCAGCCATGGCCCTGAGTGACACGGATGTGCAGAAGCAGATCAAGCACATGATGGCTTTTATTGAACAAGAAGCCAACGAGAAGGCCGAGGAGATCGACGCCAAGGCGGAGGAGGAGTTTAACATTGAGAAAGGCCGCCTCGTGCAAACCCAGCGACTAAAGATCATGGATTACTATGAGAAGAAGGAGAAGCAGATAGAACAGCAGAAAAAAATCCACCTGTCCACCATGAGAAATCAGGCACGGATCACAGTCCTGAGAGCCCGAGACAACCTCATCTTGGAACTGCTCATGGATGCGAAGATGAGACTCAGTACAATCGTGCTGGATCCGGATATCTATCAGGAGCTGCTGGACAAGCTCGTGCTCCAAGCCTTTCTCCGGCTCCTGGAGCCTGCGATGATCGTCCGCTGCAGGCCACAGGACCTCCACCTGGTGGAGGCTGCCGTGCAAAGGGCCCTCCCTCAGTACGTGATGCTCTGCCAGAAGCGTTTAGAGGTCCAGGTTGATCATGAGGCATACTTGTCTCCAAATGCCGCTGGCGGGGTGGAGGTCTATAGCAGCGATCAGAAAATAAAGGTTTCCAATACCCTGGAAAGTCGGCTGACTCTCGCGGCCCTGGAAAAGATGCCAGAGATACGAAGGGCTTTGTTTGGAGGTAATGCCAATAGGAAGTTCTTTACATAAAGCGCCGGAAATGGAAGCTTGGGCTGAACAGCAAAGTCAAAAATCGTCTTAAGTCATTTGGACAAAGGGAACTGGGGTGGGGGGATGCGTCTGCCTCTTTGGAAGCTCTGGTGTTGATTCCTAGCTTTGAATAGCTAAAAGAATGGTATTTTGTCAACTTTGGAATAAAGCACAAATGATGCTCAGAAATCAAATTCTAGTTCATCCATATTGATGACAATTTCTGGGGCGTTTTGAAGTCTGGAATGAATGAAGTGAAGATGTCTTCACCTTAGTTGAGATATAAATTGCCCCTTTGACCTATGAGTCCAAGACTCTCAGCTTATTCAGCAATGAAGTGGGTTTTTCCTTCCTTTTTTCAGCTTTAGTGACTTGTGACAATGGTATTAAATGAGGGTCAGCATCATAGATGTGCCTGGTCCAGCTTCCCTGGAGCTCACGATCAGAAAAGCCCCAGGCAATCAGAAACGGAACCTACAGTTTCGTGGCTCTGGCCACTGCCTTGAAATTCTTGCTCTCTTTGGAGATGAGTAAGAGAAACTTCAGTGGGACATTGGGTGTGTACTATGGGTTTGGACCCTGAGCTTATGAATGCTACAGATTCCAGAAGTCCACCTATATTTACTAAGTACATCCTTGGCCTGTCTCTCCCATCTCCCTGCTGTTCCAAGGTCCAGCCTTCTACGTTACCAGCCTTCATCACCACCCCTCCGCCCCTGTATGCATGCTGGGTCAGAGTGGGATATACAAACTCTATGGAGTTCAGGATCAACTACAAAGATAGACATCTCTGCTCTTAGTTCAGGCACAGTGTGAAGTTCTTGAGGTTGATGGGAAAGAGAACCCAGCAGTTGTCAAACTTTCTGGGCCCAAGTATCATGGCAGGATCCTCAGGGGCTCCTGAGCAGTCTGGGGTCTGCAAAAAATCCCCCCCACCTGCAGGAGTCTTTCCTCAGATAGCCAAATGCCTGTGGAGATTTGGGCTGGGAGATGTCGAAATGAACAGCGGGGCTGGAGATGTAGCTCACCAGTTAAGAGCACTTGTTGCTCCTTCAGAGGACCCCAGCTCATTTCCAGCACTCAGACAGCTCATGGTCATTCATCTCTAACTCTGGTTCCAGGGGAACCAATTCATTATGACCTGTGCAGGCATACATATGGTGCACATACATACTTGAGGCAAACCCTCGCACGTGAACAGTAAAATCTGTGCTCATCTTGCTTTCCTTAGGAAGACATTAAGTAGGAAACAAACATGAAAGGTGGGGAGACTGCAGAAGTACTTCCTGTGCCATCACGCTTCCCTTACTGTTTAGACAAAGGCTCCTTCACTTTTACTGTACAGTGGACCCCACAGGTTCCATATTTAGTCTGCATGGGTATGTATGCTCTCAGTTGAGTCCGTGAGTATGTGCCTTTGATAAAAGGCTTGGATCAGAAGAAACCCTGGGCACCTTTCCAGAGCAAATGCTATGCCCTGTCTGGCCAGGACCATGTACTGAACAGAGAAGCCCATAGGACACAAACACAAAATTAGGGCAGGTTATTAGTAAGTTGGGGTACTTCATACCCCAGGGACAGAAATCTCCCAAGGCCTCAGGAAAAAGCTGCAACTGAGACTCAAAAAGCCACTTAGAATCCTCTTCCTCCTAAGTCCTGCCTCCATGATTTGCCAAATTCTCCTCACAGTGTTACCATGTCACACATTGCTTGGCCTTGCTCTTCCTCCTCCTCCCCTCTTTCCGTGGTCCTAGAATACCCCTTTACCATGTCCCTTCAGCCAAACCAAAAGGGATGTTCAACCAAGCCCTGACATTTCCCCAGTTCCCGGCCACAAGGACCACGTCCCCTTGAGAGTTCCACACAGGAGGCCTTTATTTCCTGGTGTTACGTTCCTACCTGTCTCGTGTCCCACACACTGCCTTCCAGACAGGGATCATCTTTGCTCTTCTTTGTAACCCCACTGCCTGGGACTGGCTCTGCATCTGACGCTGGTTGATACAGAGGCTTGGGTGAGTAGTCAGGGACATTCTGGATGGGGGACTCCTGGGTCTCTCCTAGGCTGGCTTGTCAGAAGGGCACGGATGTGGCACAAGGGTCTGGGGAAGGGCATCTCCACGGTATCTCAGAATCAGAGCTTGACAAGAAAAACCTTCTCCTCTGCTCCTGGGAAAAAGGACTGGAATAGGGCTGCTGAGCTGGGCTGTGGTGGCGCACGCCTTTAATCCCAGCACTTAGGAGGCAGAGGCAATGGATCTTTGTGAGTTCGAATCCAGTCTGGTCTACAGACAGCGTTCCAGCACAGCCAGGGCAACACAGAGAAACCTATCTCAGGAGGAAAAAGTTACTGCCTTGCTTCCCTTCTGGCCTGAATGCATCTGGGGACTTCTGCACCTCTTCCTTCCATTGGGTAGGGCCTTGCTTTGCACCTGTGTGCACAAACTGGGGTGCTTCAGAGGACATGTGCTTAACGAGTGTCCTTCACAGGTGCAACGGGAAATGCATCTTCCAGCTTCGAATCTGCACGGCTCCAGGACTAAGTTGGCATGGGTGGTGGACTGCCGCATCATGCTGTGGAGTTGAGAGCCGTAGGTGCCCTACCGCAGGGTACCCCAGGGTCTTTGCTTTAGAAGCGCTTGCTCGCCTAGGCATTTGGTTAGCCGGTAAGCACTCTGCATTAGTACTCACATCCTACCCCGAAGAAGGTGTGTTCTTGGAACAAACTGTGAGAACCCCCAAGCAGGCACAGCCCTTTTCTCATTAGCACTTCCTCCTGAGGTGTGAGGCAAGCTGTTGGCTGCAAAGCAGAGCAGCTGTGCCTAAAGTGGCATGGATGCTGTGGAGACTCCCCCCACTGAGGGGAGCTGGATGCTGTGGAGATTCCTCCCACTGAGGGGAGTTGGATGCTGTGGAGACTCCTCCCACTGAGGGGAGCTGGATGCTGGGATGCTGTGGAGACTCCTCCCACTAAGAGGAGATGGAGCAGGGGGAACTGGGGGATACAAACCCTCACCACAAGTTTCCCCTTCCCCCTCCCCCATTGCACAGATGAGTGTTTCATCAAGAGTTAGGTCAGTCAGAAGACAGAGGAAGGGAATAGATTTAGCTCTGACTCTGAGCTTCCTGGAGAGCAGCAGACAGAGATGGTTGCTTTGGTCATGTGGCCAGTCTCAGAGAAAGCTGGGAGACCAGACCTGCAGCAATGAAAACACAGCAGGGCTCTGGCACTGACCCTGAGGTCATGGGTGTCTTAGATTGTAGACTGGAGCCCTCCTTGCACCTCTGGAGAGCAACTGTGGTCCCTTGTTTGACTGCCTGGGGACACTTTCCCCTCTTCCAGCTTTCTCCAGTATACACATTAATCCTTCAACTCTGATCCCACCCAGGAAGTCACCCTCGCTACTGAGAGAATGGGGAAGGAAGCTCTGCTTTCCCCTCACCATCACCTCCTCTAACCTTTGTTGTAGGAAGGCAGAGTACCTCTGTCTGAAGACAGTAGAAGGGGCCCCAGGCGGTAATGTTTGAGACTGAGGACTCTTGGCCCACATCCTCAGCCATCTCCTGAGAGTGATGGATGTAAGCTCTTTCACCACTGGGCAAGGAGCCTGTGGAGGGTGAGGTTGTATTCATCTGTTCATCCGGGATGCTCCCAGACCTGCCCTGGTGTTGTTGGAGGCTGCTCATTCCTTCCTGGGTGCCCTGACCCAAAATAACTACGCAGAAACTCTGTTAACTGCAATACTGTTTGGCCAATAGTTAAAGTGTATTTCTGGCTAACTCTTACATCTTAAACCAACCCATTTCTATTAATCTGTGTATTGCCACGTGGCTGTGACTTACTGGGCAACATTCCGGCGTCTGACTGCTCTGGTGGCTACATGGCATTCCACTGACTCTGCCTACTCGCTCGCTCTCTCTCTCTCTCTCTCTCTCTCTCTCTCTCTCTCTCTCTCTCTCTCTCTCTGCTTCATGCT